CATATTTTAAATCAGTTAATTTATAATATTTATGCTCTGTAAATTTACATTGAGCACTTTTTTGTATAAATAAAAATAAAAAATAACAAGAACACCAGATTATATATCTTACTGTTCTTTGTTTTAATTCATATATACCTACGTATATATATAAAGTATGTAATATATACAGTGTAATATACGATGTAATATAGTAATATATATGTGTGTGTGTACGTGTGTGTGTGTGTGTGTTTTATGCTTGAAATATATCTTTTGTACGTGGAGATGATGCTATTATATCTGTATTATAAACCATCTTATTTTCCAAACCATCTTATAGATTACCATATGTGACATTTCTTTTCTAAGGCATCCAACAGCAACACTGAATATAGAGAAAAAAACAATAAAATTAAGATTTTCTACAAAAATCAAATGTATTGTAACTATAAGAAAGACTAATCTTCACTTAAAAACATTGTAAAGAAATACACAAATCCATTTGACAAAAGAAAATTATTTAATAAAAATTTTAAAACTATTAACCTCATTATCCAAAAATTCACCTACAAGATCCAAATTACAGAAAACCAATATTGTTTACTAATTCAAATGTCCCTTAAGGAACTGTGTTTCTGACCAATTCAAATTCATAAATAATTATATTGGAAATGCTACAAGAGGTTTAACAAGAAAACTCACGTTACATCTCTCTGACTATCGATTTAATTTTAATTTATGTCTAGAAAAGAAGAAAATTATATGAACACAACAAAATTAAATAAAAAATCATACACAGTACCTTGTTGGTCATTTTAATGAAACTTGTATAAAAGAGGAATTGCTACCCATATACACAATTATAGTGTTGATAACGCTATATAACACGCTCTCTCCCCCAGAAACTGTAACAGCATAATTGTAGTATAAACCATAGGTGGAATCTGTTGGTGTTCAATTAACACAAAATGCACCTGGGCAAGCGACTGCAATACGGATTGGGTATCCTCGACTTCGAGTGGCCAGCTATTATATATGTATGTATATTGTATATTAAACATTTTCTTTCGAACCAATAGCAACACTGAACACAGAGAAAAAAAGACGAATCTTCACTTAGAAACGTTGTAAAGAAATACACAAATCCTTTTGACAAAAGTAAGAAAATTAAATTAATTATTTATAATAAAAATTTTAAAACTACTAACCTCATTATCCAAAAATACTAATTCACCTACGAGATCCAAATTACAGAGAACCAATATTGTTTACTAATTCAAATGTCCCTTAAGGAACTGTGTTTCTGACCAATTCAAATTCATAAATTATTATACTGGAAATGCTACCAGAGGTTTAACAAGAAAACTCATGTTACAAATTTGTGAGATATGAAGATAGACTTACCAAGAAAGTTACACTGGAATACAATTATATCAAGCCCAATAACCATCATGAAATTTAGTCTGATAAGATTATATCAGGCATGACAACTAAACGTGAATGATATGGTGATAGTTTTGAATAAAATTAGTGCATAACCTTGCAAGAGTTTGGTGGGGGCGTAGTTAGAAATGCAATCAGGTCGGGTAACAACCTAGTCCACTCATAGAGGGTGTTCTTAAGTAATTATACGTGAGTCCCAAATCACCCTGGCTATCACTTTCTTCAAACTTAAAAAAAGAGAAAAAAATCTCTCGATGTCTAGTTATGACTATCTTCCATTACACCCGCCCATGAACAGAGATGCATAGTGTGTAATTGTTGTTGCTATTTATTTATTTATGTATTCTACTTACTATTTTATTACATAAAACTTACATTTCATAGTCTCATTTATGTAACATCGTAGGAAGATTATCGATTGAAATATTATAATGTATACTTTTTCTCGTTAAACGACAAATCATACTATATTTCAATTCCACAGACGTATCGTGTATAACTGGGAACTTTAGAACGAAAATTCTTCTCTTTTTTTTCTTTTTTTTTTTTTTTTTTTGCTATCAAGTTTTCACTGAACATATGTTTTAATATTTGGGTCTGTATATTTTTAACACCATAAATTTAAACTTTACTGCTAGGACTCGCCATGCTGCATCCACAGAGCCGAATTATCTTCATTTCCTCCGTATCCCAATCGTAAAGAGAAAGTCCCAGTCAACTTTTCCTCAAGAACTGCTACTTTTTGGAACTGGCTCTCGCGTGGGTACTTCCATGAACACTACAATCTTTACGTCTTCAAGTCAAAGATCAGGCTTTATTCATTCTCTTCTTCAGTTACTACTACCTCCTCATACATTCACCTTATTAATAACCTCATATATGGAGTGACTCTGGAGACTTGATTGAACAGTAATAAAAAGTGGTGGTGGGAATCGATAAAAAAGATAGAGAAAGTGGGTAATACCTTTTAGGTTAAATTATTTTTTTTATATAAAACATCCGTAGCTGATTCCATAAATATACCTTTTTCATACGTACGTGCGTGAATGTTAATGTGTGTGTATATGAGAGAGTGTGTAAGAGAGAGAGAGATTGAGTGAGAGAGATAGTGCGAGAGAGAGAGTGAAAGAGTGAGTGAGCGCGAGTAAAAGAGTGAGATAGTGAGAAAGAGAGTGAAGGAGAGAGACTGAGAGAGAGAGAGAGAGTCTGTGTATATGCGCGTGTGTGTATACATTTATACATATGTTTATAAAATGTAGAAACGTTAGTTTACATAGGTAGGTGTAAGCGTTCGTATAAGAATGTTTCATTGCGTACACCTATAAACAATTGCCCGTTTCTGTATACTTGTAAGCAAAATGCACATCCTGGTAAGTTTAACGCGTGTCAGGAGTTCACATGTCGGAGACAAAAAGTCGGTGAAAGACTTGTTAGGGTTGTCAAACATTTTTCTTTGATGTGCCGCTATCCTGTTCTTCTATATAAGTGCATATTCACATATATGATGACTATAATTAATGTAAATTTATAACGCTCACAAACGCAGTATGTTCTCTACGACTTTTTACATGTTCATATGTGTACATTAATAAATACATAACATGAACTCGTAATACTTATATAAATACGTAATAAAATGCACGCGCACAATCATATACACACGCACACACACATGAAAGAGAGAGAGAGAGAGAGAGAGAGTTGTGTAAATACTGATGAAAAAAAAGCTATAATATACATAATATATGAAAAAGGGCTGAAAATTTCTTGTTTTGACCCACATCCCAAATATCATGACCAAATGATCATATTTCCGAATCTTTTTGCGAATCTCTTTATAGTTCAAGCGAAAATTTTCCACCACCTAATACATATATATATAGATAGATAGATAGATAGATAGATAGATAGATAGATAGATAGATAGATAGATAGATATGAACAGACTGGAATAGATAGATAGATAGATAGATAGATAGATAGATAGATAGATAGATAGATAGATAGATATGAACAGACTGGAATAGATAGATAGATATGAAGAGACTGGGATAGATAGATAGATAGATAGATAGATAGATAGATAGATAGATGAATAGATAGATAGATATGAACAGACTGGGATAGATAGATAGATAGATAGATAGATAGATAGATAGATAGATAGATAGATAGATAGATATGAAAAGACTGGAATAGATAGATAGATAGATAGATAGATAGATAGATAGATAGATAGATAGATAGATAGATAGATAGATATGAACAGACTGGGATAGATAGATAGATAGATAGATAGATAGATAGATAGATAGATAGATAGATAGATAGATAGATAGATAATGAACAGGCTGATTTTGATATAAACCCTTATAAAATGTAATAAAAATAAAGTTACTTTGTGTTACATGCGATTTGGAGGGCTTAATCAATAATGATATGTATGAAAGTGTTGACAAAATTGATTATTTTGGGACACAGTGTCTATTGCAAAACTCCACCAAACGTTTTCTTTCGTAGATTTTACTAGGGATATTTTTATTTTGTTGTAATTTCTTGAGGTACAGTGGATATGCGTACTGGTAAATATCGCGTAAAGTAGAACTAAATGAGTCTGCTGTTCAATTCACACTATAACACTTGGGAAAGGTAAGAAAACTTCTCTTCTATTTATCAGTTAAATAGACAGGGATCTCTAACTTTAGTGGAGATCATTCATTCAGTCAGTTAAATACACGCTTGGCCGATCATCTTTCTTTTGATCCATAACTGACCAGGTAGGTTACCGGGGTAGTTAGCCTAAAATGAAGACTACACTTAAAGCAGGAAGGCAAAAAAGAAACTACTCCACTATCTTTCTCAAGAATTCATGGCAATTCACAAATAACAAAGAAAAGGAATCTATAAAAAGCCATAATTAAAATAGTGCATGACATTTAACAAAATACATATCTTAGTAGATGTGCAGGTAATTTAATGGTTATCAGCAAGGAAAACAAAAACGGTTAGTCGAGTTCAATTTCCGGCTTAGTCTGTTACATTTACTTCACGCTAATACCCGTAAGAAAGATATGAATCTATCTTTCCCTACTCTCCCAAATATGTGTTAAACAACAGAATATACTAGGCTGTATAGACTTGACTAATGGTGAGTCTAGAAGAAGTCTTGAATTGAAAAACGTGGAAATGACAACAGAAACAATTTCTGTCATACTTAAAATGTCGTGGTAATTCGTAGGAGACATATAAAGAGAATATGTAGAGAAACATAGCTGCTCTTATCCTGAATAGACATAGCATTTAAAACACATATAATATTACTTGATGAGTTCTCAACATTTTGCAGGTTATTCAAATCCAGCAAATATATTTATATTGTAATACTTTTTAGGCGGTATAATAAGGATTTAGTGATACAAGTCTTACTAATAAACCCATAGCTGGGGGAGAAGAGGTGTATTTATAAATTTCTTAACGATATTTGCTCGTAAGCATATATAAAGAACCCAACTGAAATTGGAACTCAGCTCCCCGATTAACAATTTCGAGCTCTTATCCATTACACCACCCGCACATCCAGCACCTGATATTCCCAAGCGATCACCCGTCTAGGTACTGACCAGGCTCAGTGTTGCTTAACTTCAGTAATCGTACAAGAACCGGTGTTTGAACGTGATATGACTGAAAGCTCATATATAATTACAAATTTAAAGATATTTTTATGTTTAACATTCTTTTTATAGATACAAGTATTTTAAGTAAATGCTCTGTTTATAATAAACAGTATTAAATAAAATTTACCGGCCTGAATGTCCGAGAAATTTTCATAGAAAATATTCGTTCTTCGACCCTACCAACCGTATGCTCCTTTATGGCCGAGCGGTAAGGCACGTCCGGCTATATGACGGTTCCGTATAGGATACAGGTTCGAATTTGTCGAAGGATGAATATTTTCTATGAAAATTTCTTTGACATTCAGGCCGGTAAATGTTGTTTAATACTGTTTATTATAAACAGAGCATTTACTTAAATACTTGTATCTATAAAAATAATGTTAAACATAAAAATGTCTTTAAATAATTGTCGAACTTTGTCCATTTCATAATGTGTGACGTCATTTGTTTACATTTGATACGCCATGAGCAGTTATGAATGTACGAGATTAATGGAAGATTGAAGTTTATAGGCAGTAAATTCCACCTTGCCAACCGAACGATCCTTTGTGGCCGAGCGGTAAGTCACGTCTGGCTATATGACGGTTCCGTATAGGATACAGGTTCGAATTCTGTCGAAGGATGAATATTTTCTATGAAAATTTCTCGGACATTCAGGCCGGTAAATGTTGTTTAATACTGTTTATTATAAACAGAGCATTTACTTAAATACTTGTATCTATAAAAATAATGTTAAACATAAAAATGTCTTTAAATAATTGTCGAACTTTGTCCATTTCATAATGTGTGACGTCATTTGTTTACATTTGATACGCCATGAGCAGTTATGAATGTACGAGATTCATGGAAGATTGAAGTTTATAGGCAGTAAATTCCACCTTGCCAACCGAACGATCCTTTGTGGCCGAGCGGTAAGTCACGTCAAGCTATATGACGGTTCCGTATAGGATACAGGTTCGAATTCTGTCGAAGGATGAATATTTTCTATGAAAATTTCTCGGACATTCAGGCCGGTAAATGTTATTTAATACTGTTTATTCGAAACAGAGCATTTACTTAAATACTTGTATCTATAAAAAAGAACGTTAAACATAAAAATGTCTTTAATAAATTGTCGGACTTTGTCCATTTCATAATGTATAATTACAAATACTGCAATATACAAAGAACAGAATGTGAGATCAAATTTTAAATTAAAAAATATAAACTTTTGTACCAAATATAAGGGCCGTCTGGAATAGCTATGCTGGTGAGAATTTTTCAAACTACAAAATAAGCGTGCCGGTTCAAAAAAACGCGAGAGTGCATATTTTCTGACACGTAATGATTGCTGGAACAAAATAATCGTGCCGCGGAGATAATTATTTAAAAATAATAAGTGTTTTGTACCAAATAAGCAGCGTGCCGGGGCAAGAAGCAACTGAAGGAAAAATATTTATTGTGCCGGCACTGCTATTTAGTACAAAATAGTTGCCATTTTTAACGCCAAAAGAAGTTTGTGTTGTGTGTGTGTGTGTGTGTGTGTGTGTGTGTGTGTGTGTGTGTGTGCGTGTGCGTGTGTGTGTGTGTTTAATACGCTTTCCTCTTTTTGAGTACCGGATGATCCGGTTGCACATATATAAGAAATTTACTTCTATGCAAGTGTCTATACACTTGATTTATATCATAATCCCCCACCTTAATTTTATGTGTTGGGGGTGAAGATAGATAGATAGATAGATAGATAGATAGAAGCACACACGCATGCACAAAAAGACACACACATACACACACACACACACATATAGTAATTTTTAACGCGTAGCTGCAAATATAGAGTACCAAGTGAGGATCGATCTCAATACTAAGTTGTAATTGATCAAGCAATCAATTACACTACACCGAGGTGCCCAGATAGATAGATAGATAGATAGATAGATAGATAGATAGATAGAATCAGACTGAGGTAGACAGAATCAGATTGATATATATATATACCCAAGTATATAATTGGTGTATATGGAACGAATTCCAATAACCAACAATTACTATTCTTAAAAGAGTGCTCAATACAGAGTAGAGCAGATATAATTATTTATTTAAAAAAAACTTATAACATAAATATGTTATAAAATCACTACAAAAATAGCCATTTTGTTTCAACACCTCCGGTGTCAAGTGATGATGTTGAATGTAATCATCACTTGATAAGACACCGGAGGTGTTGAAACAAAATGGCTATTTTTGTAGTGATTTTGTAACATATTTATGTTATAAGTTTTTTTTAAATAAATAATATATATATATATATATATAGAGAGAGAGAGAGAGAGACATGAACGGGATTAAATAGATACATAGAAAGAGAGAGAGAGAGAGAGAAAGAGTGATTGTGTGATTCCCATCTCATAATCAATATTTCAATGAACAAACATCAATTTTTTAAGATCTAATGAAATTTGAGAAATAACCTAACTAGTGACTTGAACTGTGCAGTAAGTTTCCGGAATATTAGGGGACATTTCGAAGCAATGCCATTATTCTTCTTGGCTAGATCGTGAACCTTTCCATTCTTTCCCAACACCCGATACAGTATTTCTAATGTTATATATAAATATATTCAATAACGCACCCACACATAAATGATTGTGTGTGTTTAAGCTAATATGTTAATGAAATGAATCAGATTTTCATTTTGATTCTTTTCAGTTTCCGACACTTGGGGAATCTCACCAAAAAGCTTAACGGACATTCCCTGTCCGTTTTATTTAAAACAAACATGTTTAAACGAAGGGCTGCTGCCTAAATATACTATGCTTAAATCAAATTTCTGTATATGTGTAACTTTGAACTTCGGAATTCACACACATATTTGCTCACAAACTCATACATAGATTTATATTGCATATTATGGTGGACTACGCTCATTCCCTTCGCATTCCGTTGATAAGATGTAAGGTCCTCTCAAGCAGCATTGTAGAACTGGCTTATACAATGAAAATTTGCCATTAAAATTCAATAACCTTGTATCAATTTTCGCATTTATTTGTGTGTGCGTGAGAAAGAGAAAGACAAAGAGAGATATAGAAAAAGAGAAAGTGAGAGAAGAAAGTTTTAAGTAAAAAAAAAACTTTATATAATTTCTATAATTTTATAATAATTTATATATATATAATTGTGATCTTTGTTCGATAAAAAATTTTTGTATTAACATATTGTTGACATTAAGAAAACCTTTATCACATTTTTTAAATTTCTGTTTTATTAACTGTTTTTTTATTTTATTTTAATAATGAACTTTCTTTGAATAATAACGAAATTTTAGCGAAGTTCTGCTTCTTTGAAATTAGTGTGAAACTGGTGTTCGTAGAAAGTTTATATTTACAGTAAAATAATGTACATATAAAGAAAGACAGAAATTAGACAGATGGTTACACAGATGGCACTTCGACGTGGTATGATGGTTAGCAAGCTTGTCTTGGTAGATCAGTTACGACTGAGTAGTGAATTCGATCCTCTCTCGGTACTCCATATCTTCGGCCTTGTGCCACATCTAAGCTACGCTTGGTAAATCTCTATATACACTTATATAGGGAGAGATTTCTAGAAAGAGATGTTGCGATGTATACCTAAATTTTAAAGGATGTGTCTACTTACCTGGGACGGCTATAGCGGCTCGGATTGAGGAGTCGGAGAGCCGAGTTCGAATTCCAGTCGAATCCATTATATTCACTTACGTGCTAACACCCTTGGGAAAGGTATGAATCCTCTTCTCCCCACTCAGCTAAATAGCAGTACAGACCGGGTTCTATATGGATAGCCATTAGTCTATGCAGAAAGAAATGGCAACCTACTGCGGGAAAAATCTGACTCGTCAGTCATATATCTTTCGATACGTGATCGTCTAAGTGTGTATCACGCATGGCACGTAACTGACTGACTGCTTACCTACATGTATAAATATAAACACTAGATTTCCCCACATACCTGCAATATATATATATATATATATATATATATATATATATATATATATATATATATAGATTTTTTTTTTTTTTTTTCAGCTTTTGGAAGTAAAGTCTGATGATCCAGAACCCTGTTAAAGGGGTTATGGTGAAATAACTTATTACATGGAATCTTAACGTGGTCTGTCTTTTTATTCAAACATATCTGCTCTGAATTTTACATTGAGCTCTCTGGATATCATCCTCCTCATGTCTACCCATACGGATTACCTAAATTTTATAAACTCTCTCTCTCTCTCTCTCTCTCTCTCTCTATATATATATATATATATATATATATATATATATATAGAGAGAGAGAGAGAGAGAGAGAGAGAGAGAGAGAGAGAGAGAGAGAGAAAGAAAGAAAGAGACAGAGGCAGAGAGATTGTTATCCACAGACAGGCTGTTTCGCTGTTTCACAGCTCATCAATGTGGCTAGACATCTGATTGCCTCAAGCCGGGATCGAAACCCGACTTGGTATCAGTCGGAGATTTTATTCCTAAGCCGTTGGCGCATGGTAGGGATGAAGGTGAATTTAGACGTATTTATTTTTAGGCAAACACACCAGTGACCGGAGAACTCGATTCGTCTTAACGAAGAGTCTTGCATCAGCTGCAATAATAGTCACTGTTTACAAATTCACTTTTCTCACCAAAGAGCTTAACCGAAATAATTTTTTCAGTAGCATGTATATACATTGTCATCCACAGACAGACTGTTTCGCTGTTTCATAGCTCATCAGTGTGGAGGGAAAAGGTTATAGTTGTTCTAACGAGAGAAAAATGTACATTTTGAAAAAGAGAGAAACCGCAAACGTTTTTGGTTACAATGTGGATGTATTTTAGTATATATATTATATTTTATTCGTCATATTTCTGCTACACGAGTTCCCGGTCTTGTGACCTTCTTCAGGCAAATTAAAGAAATAAATTTTAAAAGGAATAAATTTTCCTTATATTCTTTTAATGTCTCATTGTTCGTTTTCTGTATTTGTTAGTGATCCTTGAACTTCTTTCTGGA